CTGGTTAAGAAAAGATGGGGCATCTTCATAACCTGTCAGCAAAAGATGGGACATCTTTCTGACACAAGAGTTTTCACTAAAAGTATTCTAGATATTATTCAGAAAGCTATAGCACTAGCTGCACCGCCTTACTCTAACTTAGCGCATTGTAAATAATAATATAAGACTCCTTTTAAGCTTCCACTGGTTAAGAAAAGATGGGACATCTTCATAACCTGTCAGCAAAAGATGGGACATCTTTCTGACACAAGAGTTTTCACTAAAAGTATTCTAGGTATTATTCCAAAAACTATAGCACTGGCTGCAACGCCTCAGTTATACCCTAACTTAGCGTGATGTAAAGAATAATGTAAGATTACTCTATAACTTAGCGTGATAGGACTTTATAGGACTTTTTTAAGGACTTTTATAATATAGGACTTTTTTAAGCTTCCACTGGTTAAGAAAAGATGGGACATCTTCATAACCTGCTAGCAAAAGATGGGACATCTTTCTGGCGCACGAGTTTCCACTATATATATATGTATATATATATATATATATATATATATATATATATATATATATATATATATATATATATTTATATATATATATATATATATTTATATATATATATATATATATAAATACTCATAATTACTCAGATAATATGTATGCGCTTATAGTTATTTTATCCGCACTGCGCAGTCTGCGCTGTCATGCAAAGAAGAAATGAATATATAAGGTTCTTTTATTATACCAGCCACTGTATATATATGTAAATAAATATTATTTGTCTTGTGCTGCCATGAAACAAAATATAGAAATGAGTATAATATAATGAATATATTACAATCAACTCGCGGTTGTGATAGCCCTACTTGAAAGCCGTGGTACCCGGCGTATCTAACATACTGTATACTAAAGCAAATAATAACTGATTAAGTGGTGCCATACCTACAGGGCCTACAGCGACTACAGCTTTTTGACTATATTATACCTAACTGATTACGCATCAATCTTTAATAAACACCTATCAAAATATTGCCAGTTTGTTTGATCTTGATCCAGTGGCGTGCTGGGTACTATTTTTCTGGGGGGGCCAGTGGGCTGTCAAACAATATGCGCCCCTATAATATTACACTTGATAAACGAGGGCCGAAGGCACGAGCCGAGCGCCGAAGGTGCGAGGTTTGTCTAGGGGGGTCCGGGGGCATGCCCCCCAGGAAAATTTTTGAATTTAGAGTCTCTGAAATGCCATTTCCTGGACTTTGGGGGACGATTTGACAGAAATCTGATGGTCAGGAAACGGCATTATAACGTGTCGAAATTTGCAACCAACGCATATGCATTTTAAGGTTTCCTTGCCTGGCTGCCAAAAGGGCGGGTTTCAGCATTATTTCATAACTTACATTACTCATTACAACTTTACGTTATCATAACTTCAACTATCTAATTTGCGCCGCTCTCGTGAAGAATAATAAAGGGCGTAATATAAGGGCATAATACCAGCAAAAAAGGGCATAATTCCCGTGATCTCTTCCAAACATGACCAATATTTCGGTGATGAGACATTGCGTTTGATCACTGATCATGTTCCTATATAAATGATTTCGTGTGCGCCGTGAAGTAGCAAATTAGCAAATACGGCTTAATAGACAAAATAGTCTGTAATTTAATATATCACTTTGTCGTTTTCTTGGCGGAGGTAACTATATTTTTGCGAATGCGTTTTTTCCCACCCACTTTCAAAATTCGGCGCGGGATCGGCGCCCCCTTTTCATTTCTGCGCCCCCAAGAATTGCCAGCAGGGGGGGCCGTGGCCGCCCGGCCCCCCCTGCCAGCACGCCACTGTCTTGATCTCCATACTGAATCCATACACACGATTGTCAAGCAGAATGCCCTCTTCCTTCAGACTAGATTTTGGCGCAATTTGAACTTTGCGCGGCATTGTCTGCTAACATTATTATAAATTGGTGATGACAACCTGGTTTGTATGTTATCTCAGTTAGTTATTTGCTACATCATATCTGTATGGGGTTAAATTTCATGCACGCATAAATTATTTCACTATAAATTCATTATACATGTCACCACTCTTACCACCTCGACTAATAATGCTGTGGTGACCAACACCTTCAAAATAATTCAATTTATAGGCGTGCGGGTCCTCATAGTTTAACAGGGCGGTCACGCAATATATTTCCAGTCAACAGCTAAGCGTTTGTCTGTCTAACAACACAAATATATACGGATTAAAGTATTTTAGAATATTCTTAGTGCAAAATAATTGGTATATACACTGCTAAGTACATTGACTTGCTCTCCGACGTATATTAAATGCGTGAAAGTCGTCGCATATGATTCTTAATTTGCATTCAATACAAGCTATTGAAACATAGCGTTGCATGAGAGTGTTATATTACCTTGTCGACCATGTAGTATTTGCTTCTTGAAGCCTAATACATTCTAGTGGGCCATATTTACTACGGAAAGAGAAAGTCCTGCATAAAACTCAATTTTTAATGCGCAATGCCTCGGTTATTAAATTTGAAAGATACAGACAATCCTGGACAAAACCATCTGCGACACTCTATTAAAACGTTCCTTTCTGGCTTTTTTACCTGTTCGACCGGAATAATTTACTCGTTTGCCCCCCTCGGCCCCCAAAACAATGTTGGACGTTTTATCCGTATTCGACGAATGCAATCAACATTGAATGGTGGGGGAAAGGGGGATGATTTGTAAATTTACGATAATATTACGACATTTTGTCAAGTAATTGGAAGTGTCGCAGATGTTTTGTCCAGGATTGTCTGAAATAAGTCGAAATTATATTCTTTTATATTTCGCTTTTTATACATGTCCTTGCCATCTACTTCGTTTATGCGCATTGCTGATGACCTACTTATATTGATAGGTTATACATTCAGGGACAATAAATTCAATAGAATTACGTTTCTGGTATTTACTGCATATATTTAGAATATTAAGTGACATGCAACTATATAAATGTGAATTATGCATTTTGACACAAGTTTCCGGGTGTGGTATATCCATGCCCAACTTTCAACAGTAACGGTGTACCACAACCAATGCACTAAGACTGTGATAATATCCCCAGTTACAAGGGTAATACAAACCAATGAAATGAACTTGAAAGAACGTGTGTTGCTTAGTATTGCAACCATAGACGGATTTTGTGGGGGGGTGCAGGGGGGTGCTACCCCCCCAATATTAGCTATAACCCCCCCAAACAAAATGTCCACCCCTCCAAAAAAATTTTCAACCCCCCCAATATTCGGCATAATAAACTGAAATAATTAAATAGTCCACTCCAACGTGCAGAGTGTTGATGATACAAAATAAACGTAGGAGTACACTCAAATAGAAAAAGACGCAATACTCTGAAACTAATTGCTCCTCGCTTGCATTCACTGGTTTATTGGACCAATTGTAAAGTTTTGAAATTCTATTATCTCCCCTGAATAGAGTTTGCAGTGCCTTGTCATGCAAATAGCTTGCTTGCAAAGAACGTTTGGAAATTTTACAAACATTATTTTTAGTTTTAATTCTTTTAGGAAATAGTCTTGCCTAGATTTAATCTTTACGTCCCAAATATTATTTACATCGGAGTTGCATCATAAATTGTACTCGGATTCAAACGACACAATGTCAATGATTTTATAAAAGTAAAAGCATATTGTGTATTGGCCTATTGGATTTACACTTTTACAGCTTCATTTAACTTTAACTCTCTCAAGTCTCAACAGACAATCGGACAGGCCAAGTCCATTGATATGACAACTTCAAAAAACGTTTTTTCGAAGCTAGAAATCATGATTTTTTTCAAATTTTTCCAGGGATACTTTGTTTTCAGCTCTCTAGACTCCCACTCGCGGCTCTAGTGCTCCACCCCTAGAATATAGACCTTACTGGGGTTTGGCGACACTTTGTGTTGCTCAGGGCCTTTTTTAACACACAAGCTGGGAGGGGGGGGGGCAAATGAGTCCCCCCTTGTGCCCCCCCCCCCACAAAATCACATTTTGCCGCCCCCCCAGGAAAAGTCCCTTTTCCCTAAAATTATACAAACAAACCAGCGAAGATTAACAAATACATAAACGGAAAGTAAGTTTTAGGCTTCATCCCTTGTCCTTGTTTAACAAAATCGATTTAAATTGTTACTTTTTTCTAAATTATTGTTAATAATTTTTTTTATTTTTTGGATGCTCAGAATGCAGGAAATAGCATTTCCGGGTTTCAAATTTCAAAAATTTTCTGGGGATTATCCCTCTAATAAGCCAATAAATTACAGTTAATATTCTTTTTTACTTTTTGCGCATTTTTTCCATCTTTTACTTCAAATACAAGTATAGTTAGCATAAATTTTAGAGCAAATTTGGATGCTCAGAATGCAGGAAATGGCATTTCCATGCTTCAAATTTCAAAAATTTTCTGGGGGAATACACCCCCACACACCTGACCATTGTTATCCTCCTCAATAAGTAATGATAAATGATGGTTATTTTTTTTTTACTTTTTGTGCGTTTTTTTCTTTATTTATTTCAAATACAAGTATAGTTAGCATAAATTTTGGACCAAATTTGGATGCTCAGAATGCAGGAAATGACATTTCCGGGATTCAAATTTCAAAAATTTTCTGGGGGAGTACCCCAGACCCCCCCATTCATGCGTGGTATATTGGCCACACACGTGGCCTTCAGCCATTGCTATCCCCCTCTAATATATTATCTCACGGAAAGGTCCCTTTTCAAAAAATGCCCCCCCCCCACGGGAAAATCCTTAAAAAAGGCCCTGGTGTTGCTTCAGTCACCTGCTCGCGGCTCACCCCCCTAAAATTTCTGGCACCACCCCAGTAAAAAATATGAAAATCCGTCTATGATTGCAACCTACTTCAGACAATATTTAGCGCGATAATTTTAAAATATTCCACGGTGTACCATTTTAACCTTACAAAAGGTTATATATATATATTCTTATATGTTCACGCTGTACCGTGGTACACCGTCAATGCGCATGCACTATTATACGACAATAACAAAATCGGATTAGTTATTTAACTCGGCGGTCACGCAATATATTTCCAGTCAACAGCTAAGCGTTTGTCTGTCTAACAACACAAATATATACGGATTAAAGTATTTTAGAATATTCTTAGTGCAAAATAATTGGTATATACACTGCTAAGTACATTGACTTGCTCTCCGACGTATATTAAATGCGTGAAAGTCGTCGCATATGATCAGGGGCGGATCCAGCTCCTGAGCTGACTGATGCATACATAAGACCTCGCATTTGTAGGGGGGGGGGTCCGGGGGTATCCTCCCCCGGGAAATTTTGAAATCTAGATCCTCGGAAATGCGATTTCCTGCGTTCTGAGCGAACTCTTTTGTTGCAATTCCTATATCAGAGTCACAAAAAGTTTGCTGCATTTTTGGAAAAACACGTAAAAAAACTTGAACCTATATCGCAAAAAAAACATAATTTCTCCACATAAGAAAAAAAAATTTGCTTGTACAAGTGTAATAGTAGCAGTGGCAATAAGTCTCTATTAAAAAATAGTCAGTACTGTGCTTCTTGTAGCCTTAACTTTTCTATTGAAAAACATTTCGGCAGAAAATCACGACAACGCAAATACATGCACACATACTGTGTAACAAAGGTGTATACAGTGTGCTCCACTAGTTGCATTGCTGGACTCAGAAGACAGTGTTATTATGTTGTTTATGAACCACCTTCCCCTATTAATTTCCAATGTTCCATGAGTAAAATCTTCTAGCATTAGAATTTAAAGTAAAATAACATATGATTTGGTGCATAAAGCTAGATTAAAGGTATTTTGTGCTTTACTGGGTAAATATATGCAACTCTGTCTTATGTTGCTAATCTTACTCTGCATGGACAGTGTGGTTGACATCAGCTGGTCAATTTCATTTGCCCCTAGGCTAGCTGCCTTTCAGATGAACTGCATGGTGAATAGCCGACACTCTGAATACTGAGAATATTGCCTTGTGGTGAGGAAACCAGTAAACTAACACACAACAAACACTGGGTTTAAAATTATATAAATATATAACTAGGTACACACACGTTTTAAATCAATAGAGACTGTGTGTAAATTAATTTAATGAAGCTATCTTAATTGGAAATTGTTTGTTAAATAAACCAATACCAAACTGTACAATGATAAACATGACATAATTTAATCATATGTCTTCTATCTGTCCCCTTTTGCCTGCCTTTCAACTAGTATTAATACAGTACTCCTTTAAGAAAGGCTGCACAGTAGTATTGATGAATATTTAATTTTCCCTATATTATCTTGTCAAATATATCCATACACTTATCAATGGTAATCGTAATCCTCAGGGTGGCATGCTGGCTATCCAAAACATAATACTGGGATAATTAGCATTACAAATATATAATTTAATTAAATATATTTTCCAAACTATCCCACTTTTGTGAGCAAATTTCATAATTATAACCTGTATACACCAGTTACAGTATATACTGTATACAGTATTTATACCGTCCATCATTTTATCATTGATTCTAAGATTAAATCTGTCAGGAGAATGTCATATGATATATACAGCTTATATCAAATTATATTTGCACAGACAAAGCATATAAACACTCAACTATGGTAGGCGAGCAAACCCAGGTAATCATCTTTGTTTGCAAAATATCCAGCTAGTGTATAGCAATTGCCCAATAACTCAGGCAATGCAAAGAAAGACCCTGTCACAACGCATGCCAGCTCATTTCCATATAAAATGAAAATGAAATGAAATAGGAGATACCACTGGAAGTTGCAACTTGAAAGTTGAAACAATTACCTTTCATGTAAACTCCCCCTTAGTCTTCTAACCAATGTTGCATTCTTACTATTAGAAATCTCATTAACCTGCAATTATGCTCTGTAATTACATACAGAGACTGATGCAAGTCTTGATCCATTCAGAGTTACTTTCCACCCACACTATAGTTTTATTTTTGGTATCCAATCAAAATCTGCCAGAAGAAATGTCAATTTCACATAATAACAACAAGCTAAATATAGTTACAATCACTAAATATATCATTATTTAATTATAGCATTAACCAATTATCAAAACAATACATTAAATATGGCATGAATACTCATGCTAGAAATAGCCAATCGGAGTTACAACAATAAAGGCAGTTGTAGGACACAAACATAATAACATGTGTATCAGGTCTTCATTTTTCTTTGCCCGCCAGCTGTGAGAAAAATGAAGGTCTGGGCACAGGATATAATCCCATGTAAACAGAGATGAAATTTGCCTCAGTAAAGCAAGCTGTCAAGTTTGTATTGGGGCTAGTTTGGCTCCAGACAAGCAAACCTCTGTAAAATGTCAAACTCTACCCCCCCCCACCCCCGCCCCCCAACCACTAACATCTTTCTGGGCTTTCTGGAATATAGAGCAACAACAGTAATAGACACAAACTGTAATTATTTTGTTATTACATACAAATCTATATTAATTGTGGACCCATTTTCCACTTTACACACTTCTTGAACTGAACAATTTAGTAATTTACTACCATTTGTAAAAATATAGAGAAATAAGAAATTTAACTTACTTAATTAGAGCCCTCAGTTCGATCGAGTTTCACTGCTTTCACATCGTGGGCATATAAGATCCCTTCCATTCTTCCACTTGGTAGTAATTGGTTCGACTGTAAATTATATCTTCTCCGTCAATTTCGAGGGATATCTCTTCGCATTATTTGCATATAGTGTTTGCATATCCAAATTGATCAAATATCCTTGCCGCCATGTCTTGAATCGAATGCCTGGTTACGTCACAGTAGATTTGATTTTGCAATTTGCATCAGTGCACTGATGCGAGCGCCCGCAATCTGCATGCGATGCATCGCTCAGCGGCCAAATCTAACGTGACGTAGGGCTCTAAAACAATAGATTTGATGATGTCACGTTAGATTTCACGCGGAAAAGGACTCGGGACCGATGCATTCACGGTGAAGGCTATTTCAGATCAATCTCGTTCCCCGAGCCTGCGATCCTTGGGAAGGAAACGAAGGCTCTGGGATAATCCATCTCAGAAATGAATATGATTGGTTGCTGGTATACAATGGAATGTTGCAATTTTACAAAAATTAATTTTTAACCGTATATTTTTACATACAACATGGCGGCCGTTTAGGAGTGTACGAATATTGTTTTGGTGTTTCAGAGCTGTGCTATATACTAATACTACAAAGGAAATGCAAAGAAACGTATACTTAATGCGTATAATATCATAACAGTTAAATGGAGCGTGAAAACTTTACTCATATTTGTGTTGTACAGGTTTTCTGTAGTTTTAATCTATGACTATACAGTGTGTATCAAAATAATTCGAATCCAAATTTGACAGACTGCTGTTTATAAAATACTAAAGTAAACCATATAATTTTTATATGGCAATAAAGAATAGCCTATTAGGTTTCCGATTATATCGTTCTTATATCAAGATAAAAAATGACCAAGAAATCGTGTGTTAAAACTGGTTGCTCGAAATCAAATTTTTCCGCCGATGGGAATTCGAAGTGAGACGTATAAACAAAAGATAATGCAAATTTAATTAATCAACAAACTGTTATGTAGCAAAATTTACATAAATTCGTGTTCATTTAAAGAGATTTAAGCTCCTATGCC